GGGCGTCGGCCAAACGATCAATAGCCTCCGGTGTCCATCCCGGATTGTGTAGATCGAAAGCGATGTCGTTCATATGTGCGGGCAGCCTAGTCCACGAGCGCATGAAGCTGGAGCGCTGTGCCTCGGAGAAGCGGTCGAGTAGTTCTTGTGGAGGCGGCTTCGGAAGAGGCGGGGCGGAGGCTGGGTCCGGAGAGCGGTGAGTCCCGGACTTGGGGCCAACGGCGTTGACACGAGGTGGTGATGTAGATGTTGTGGGGCCGGTAGGAATCGAAGATGGTGCCGCCTTCAGGGTTTCCACCGGTACTCGTAGTAGCGGCGCGGCAGACATGTTACGGTTCGAGACAATCATTGTCCCGCAAGTACACCCCCACAGAGGTAGTTGGCAGCATTCTGCGGAGCCTCTGCAAGAGTTGTCTGGACTCGCCCTCCTCTGCTCACAACCAAGCTACCATCCTGAGCTTGAACTAAAAGAATAAGACCATAACATCCACAAGGAGGCCTTTGCTCCGACACTACATCGGCTACTACAGCTGGTACAAGTATCTTCACTACTCATCGCACTCGGTACAGTCGTTCGATTGCACAAGAAGAGGTCAGTGTGTGTGCATCGTTGCATGAGCGAACACCTGTCAGGAGCAATAATCCCCTTCCTCGCACCATAAACCGTGCCGTGAACGGGAGCTGTTACGTATTTACTGCTTACACACTTGAGACCTCTACCCTGCGTGCTAGCGACTCGTGACATGGTGTACAATCCGTGAGCACGCGCTCGCGCCGCGCGTGTGAGTTATGTTGTTACATGCTTGTATCCCTTTGTTGGTAAACTCGTGGCTTCTGGGGAAAATATGTTTTATTGTTGAGATCTTGGACCAGGAGAACAGGTCAAAAGGTGAAGTGAGCAAGGGTGGGGAGCACCACAGCAGCACCGTAGCACCGCAGCCACCACCCGTATCGCTCGACCAACGCACAAAAGCAGAACACAATGATATCGGAACACAAAGACTCAACAGACAGGGGCTAACGTACATCACAACGTACCATGAATCCTCTGACTGACGCACTATCCACAACAAACACACTCGGGGTAATGCACCATCCACGAAGAATTCCCACAGAACGTTCCTTGCTGCAACGATCTTCAACGCAGACAGTCCCGCAATGCAAACTGTCCAATCAAGTTGTTCTACGTCACTCTGTCGACACATGATCGATANCGCACTATCCACAACAAACACACTCGGGGTAATGCACCATCCACGAAGAATTCCCACAGAACGTTCCTTGCTGCAACGATCTTCAACGCAGACAGTCCCGCAATGCAAACTGTCCAATCAAGTTGTTCTACGTCACTCTGTCGACACACA